CCAAGACAGGTGCAAAATATCCAATACACTCAAATGAACTGCATAATATATCATTAGGTATGCCAACAATTCAGCATCAAACATGACAACAAACAAACGAGAGAAATACAATTAAATGCAAACAGCAAATCTGCTTCATGCAAATGTCATTTTAACCATCTAATGTATTCCAGGCCATATCATCAACTCCAGCATTTTAGCAGAACATCTCATTTGACACTGATGTCTGTGAAACTGTCTCGGCGTATGACATACCTGACTGAGTGTAATGCAATGCGGCATCTATTTCTGCTTGAGAGAACACACCTGTCAGAGAAACATTTTCTCCTATAGAGCAGGTGGATCATAACAATCCAAACACAAACCTAACACACAAGCTGAGGAGATCTGTTGTGGCCTGAGGGCTTGTCCACATCAAGCTGCATCTCAGAGTGAAGCCAAAATCTCGACAAAAATGAATCTACATTGACATCAAAGAGAGAGAAAAAATAACATAAAACTCTGACTCATATTATAGGCCATTTCGGGTAGCACATAAATTGAGGGCATGGTAGATAATTAGTTAGGTCAGGTCTTGCATAAATTGTTTGACAAGCACCTGATTTGGCGATTACGCTAAGCCTGCCATCTTTGAAAATGTGTCTTGTGTCCTATATCTAATTACTCATCTAGATTTTTGTAATTAATATTTGTTATTTTGTCAATTAGATTTCTGTCCAGTCTGGTGGATCTAAATTACACAGGTGACACATTTTCATTGTCAAGGACAAGAAAAAAACATAATAATCTAAAAAGGTGATTACATGTTAGGATTTAGCTATGCCTTCAACATAACATGGATAACAGGGATGACAGCAGAGGCGTCATGCCCATTCAAAGTGAGCGCTGAGCGTGATTTCACCAAGTACAACATGTTCCTGGATCAACATCCTTGTTGATCCTGGAACAACATTCCAATCAACCAATTAGAATAGAGATATAACTTTTCAGGAAATGTCAGTTTTAGGCTTACAATCAGGATTAGGTGCTTCTACACTCTTGTTAATCAGCTATCATTTCCCACTGATTTTAGGAATAAATTATGGGTAGGGTTAGGTTTGGATTGGCGGTATGGTTCCGTTCTGGGCAAGAACTCCCTGCGCCTCCATGCAGCCTAGCATGGATGAGAGCAGGGAGAGCAGCGATAACCCCCCCAGGGTAAACAGAACAGAACCAACATAAATGTATTGCAGATATCGTTAAAGTTCAATAATGTTATGTACACATTTTAGAATTAGTCTGATTCAAAGGAGAATAAGAAGGCTGAATCCTGACTGACAGAGGAGGAGTTGGGGATGGAGGAGGGTAATTAGCTATTGAGCAATGCGAAAACTGCTGATAATACTGAGGGACCTTATATATGAATACTTAGATAGGTGTCGTATTCCCATAGGTTGATGGGGATCAGCTGAGAGTCAGCTGAATCGAGCTTGACTAACGTGACCTGCCAGAACTAATGCTATGCTTGATTAATGTTGATCCAGCATCATCAAAAGATCTTGATCCAGGAACATGTCTTACTTGGCAAAATCATGGCGACCGGGCACATGCCCCCTCAGATTTCTGATCCAAGTGGATTTTAAACGCAGCTTCCACAAAAAAATAGCCGAATAATATTTTTTATATTTGATACAATCACACCTGTGTGATTAGATCGTTCAGTGCTGCACAGCATCATTTGCTAAATTCAAATCTGCGTTCGTGCTTTGGCTGGCGCTGAGCCAGAGACAGACGCGTTTGTACAGCGCTGCATTATAACCAATCACATACAATTCTGTTGAGCTTATGAATGCAATGGCTAATCAGAGACGTTCAGATGAGTCATCGCTGAAACGCTGTGTTTTGTTCACTTGCTCGCTGACTGTGCAGATGTGCGTATGAATGTAAGTAAAATATTCATTTCACAGTGTAAACAGCTTCAGGGATTTAAATGGGAGTTTTGGAGAGTGTCTGAACTCTGGCTAGACTGAAGTGAAAATGTTCTTTTATAATGTAAATGTTCTTTGCTCTCTGTAAAATGAAAATGTTATAATAGGCTATAGTAACTTACAATATTGTTATTAAATTCACATTAAATACAAAGTCAGTCATATTAAAAATATTGTATGGCATGACACCCATATCTGGTAGGCCTTTACGTAAATAAAAAGTCGGGTTTTTATGTGTTGTTAGTAGATTACACTATCTACTTTGCCCATCACTTATAGTTTAAATAACAATCTGGTGCAAAACGCATTTACTTATGTTCGAGAATCGAGATATTTCCTAATATAGTTAAAACGTTTATTTTATTTAGAGGGGGGGAAAAAAACATAAGCCTGTGTCAGTTATACAGTGCTTTTGTGGCTGCTGTGTCACGTGACAAGCATAACGAGTCCACCCCCCCTCCCCCTCCCCCCACTCGTGCCCCCTCAAAAATCATGAGTGCATGACGCCCCTAGATGACAGTAACAGGGATATGAATTCTACAGTTCATTGAATCATTATTAGCCTTGTGCTCAAGGTCATAACACTAGAAGATGTGTTTATTCTAATAAATTATGACAAATATATTTTACTAAGCCGTTTCTTTACTGTAGTCTTATTACTTGAAGGCTTTACTTTTTAAGATTGTCGCCTGCTGATTAATCTAACAAAATGTAAAATAAAGTGATTTAAAAAAAGAGGAGAATCTTGTCCTTGAAGAATTCACATTCATCCACTGATGTAGCCTATTACAGATCAGTATGTTTTCCACGTTTTTTTAATATAACTATTTTGTTGTGACAATTATAACGTTTCACAACTAAAACGCTATAAATAAAACACTAAAAAAAGTGTTCTATTTATTTTGTACGCATCTAAAAAGTGATAATGTTTTGTCGATGCAACTGTCCAATAGTAATCTTAGTAATCTTAATGGAAAGTGTTGGAGCGAACTGTTGCTATGGTTACCTCCTCGGAAACGCGATTTCTGTTTTGGAGCGTACAATTACCGCATTCGGGAAAACTTTTTTGTTATTTAAACGTTGTTTGAAAACAACTTTGAAATGCATATGTTATGTAATAAAAACATGCATACGGCCCCACAAAGTGCTTTAACCACTAAGGGTGGGAATATTTGGGGGAGGGGTGTATTTCAAGCATTAGGCTAATTGGGGGGATTCAAACCTTAATTACCCTTCGCCTCCAAACCCCCCTAAACTCACACCAATTCCTGTGCGTTCCCAGTCAACAGATGCACGCAAGTTGTATTTGAGCATAAAACGCGTCACAGATATCAAGCGTAGCGTTAGTTCTGGCAGGTTACATTCGTCAAGCTCGCATCAGCTGACTCTCAGCTGATCCCTATGGGAATACGACACCTATCTAAGTATTCAAATATAAGGTCCCTCAGTATTATCAGCAGTTTTCGCATTGCTCAATAGCTAATTACCCTCCTCCATCCCCAACTCCTCCTCTGTCAGTCGGGATTCAGCCTTCTTATTCTCCTTTGAATCAGACTAATTCTAAAATGTGTACATAACATTATTGAACTTTAACGATATCTGCAAGCATAACGAGTCCACCCCCCCTCCCCCTCCCCCCACTCGTGCCCCCTCAAAAATCATGAGTGCATGACGCCCCTAGATGACAGTAACAGGGATATGAATTCTACAGTTCATTGAATCATTATTAGCCTTGTGCTCAAGGTCATAACACTAGAAGATGTGTTTATTCTAATAAATTATGACAAATATATTTTACTAAGCCGTTTCTTTACTGTAGTCTTATTACTTGAAGGCTTTACTTTTTAAGATTGTCGCCTGCTGATTAATCTAACAAAATGTAAAATAAAGTGATTTAAAAAAAGAGGAGAATCTTGTCCTTGAAGAATTCACATTCATCCACTGATGTAGCCTATTACAGATCAGTATGTTTTCCACGTTTTTTTAATATAACTATTTTGTTGTGACAATTATAACGTTTCACAACTAAAACGCTATAAATAAAACACTAAAAAAAGTGTTCTATTTATTTTGTACGCATCTAAAAAGTGATAATGTTTTGTCGATGCAACTGTCCAATAGTAATCTTAGTAATCTTAATGGAAAGTGTTGGAGCGAACTGTTGCTATGGTTACCTCCTCGGAAACGCGATTTCTGTTTTGGAGCGTACAATTACCGCATTCGGGAAAACTTTTTTGTTATTTAAACGTTGTTTGAAAACAACTTTGAAATGCATATGTTATGTAATAAAAACATGCATACGGCCCCACAAAGTGCTTTAACCACTAAGGGTGGGAATATTTGGGGGAGGGGTGTATTTCAAGCATTAGGCTAATTGGGGGGATTCAAACCTTAATTACCCTTCGCCTCCAAACCCCCCTAAACTCACACCAATTCCTGTGCGTTCCCAGTCAACAGATGCACGCAAGTTGTATTTGAGCATAAAACGCGTCACAGATATCAAGCGTAGCGTTAGTTCTGGCAGGTTACATTCGTCAAGCTCGCATCAGCTGACTCTCAGCTGATCCCTATGGGAATACGACACCTATCTAAGTATTCAAATATAAGGTCCCTCAGTATTATCAGCAGTTTTCGCATTGCTCAATAGCTAATTACCCTCCTCCATCCCCAACTCCTCCTCTGTCAGTCGGGATTCAGCCTTCTTATTCTCCTTTGAATCAGACTAATTCTAAAATGTGTACATAACATTATTGAACTTTAACGATATCTGCAATACATTTATGTTAGTTCTGTTCTGTTTACCCTGGGGGGGTTATCGCTGCTCTCCCTGCTCTCATCCATGCTAGGCTGCATGGAGGCGCAGGGGGTTCTTGCCCAGAACAGAAGCATACCGCCAATCCAAACTGTATGCTAATTGTCAATCATCTTTAACGATAGTGGTCCTGACAGACGTAAGTTGCAATTAAAAAGTCAAACAAATCAACACACGATTGAAAACAGGAGCAGGTTTGCTGCTTAAATGAAACGCGTTACCTGGGTTTTGAGAGGCTCTCCGTGCTCAATGATGCTTATAAAAGGAATTTCCAAAAAAGAGGACATAAATTCCATTTGCACTATTTCCTCCTGCGTCTGAGGGAAGGCGAGCACAGCCGAGACCCCCTGGACCACTATATCCTGACACACACACCTGAAGAGCGACTCGGGGTCTCCGCTCGGGGCTTCCCGAGCCACCACGTCCAGGCTCAAGTTGTACGGAAGAAAGTTGTTGCCGCTTTCGGCGAGACCGCTGAGGGCGCGGTGGAGAGCCGCCCGCACCCGGACCGACTGGCGGGGAGGCAGGAGGGCACCCAGGCGCACGGTGTGTCCTATCCGCGCAAGGATGTGGCAGGGCTGCGGGTGAGAATGAGCGGGCTGGACGAGCAGGGTATGGAGAAGGAATATTTGCGATCCCAAATAAAAGTATGCCAAGAATGTGTAGAAGATGAAATTCATCCTGCTTCACTCTTAACGGTGGTGATGAGGCATTGTCAGAAGATAGCATTGCTCGCCTTGTTGTCTGGTCTTTTCTTTAACGTCCTTTATTGTTTTTTTGTTTTGTTTTGTTTTGTTTTTAGTGCAGGATGGTGTATGAGGAGTGATCTATGGAGTTACTGTGTGAATGTGATACTCTGCTCAGGAGAGGAGGGGGTTTCGCGAAAGGCGGGGATGTCATTGCGTTCACACCCAAAGAAGCGCTGGAGAGGCGTAATGGTATCATTAGGAAAACGACTTCAGAGCATAAATACAGGAACTCTCTTATTAAAACCTCTTTTTACACAAAGGCGTGTTTTTTAGTGTTCAATCGTCATGTTGTTCGGGGTTTCAGAGAGGAAGCCTCATATATAGCTGATTATAAACAAGATTCCAACTTAGTACTGAAGTCCTCCATACAGACATTAACTGGATGCAGCAGGTACACGCACACTTAGAAATGTATATGCCATTCCGAAAAAAATGTTTTAAGAATAAAGAACCTTTTGTGGAATGGAAAGGTTCCATGGATACTGAAGGTTCTTCATTGACATACTGTTATATATATAACTGTTGTTGTGAGCTGTATGAAGATTATTCAAAATATGCTTGGAAAATAACTGGAAATCAAGCCTAGCGTTAGTTCTGGGAGGTCACGTTAGTCAAGCTCGCATCAGCTGACTCTCAGCTGATCTCCATTAACCTATGGGAATACGACACCTATCTAAGTATTCATAGTATCAGCAGTTTTTGCATTGCTCAATAGCTAATTACCCTCCTCCATCCCCAACTCCTCCTCTGTCAGTCATGATTCAGCCCTCTGATTCTCCTTTGAATCAGACTAATTCTAAAATGTGTACATAACATTATTGAACTTTAACGATATCTGCAATACATTTATGTTGGTTCTGTTCTGTTTACCCTGGGGGGGTTATCGCGGCTCTCCCTGCTCTCATCCATGCTAGGCTGCATGGAGGCGCAGGGAGTTCTTGCCCAGAACGGAACCATACCGCCAATCCAAACTATATGCTAATTGTCAATCATCTTTGACGATAGTGGTCCTGACAGAACAAGCAGTTTTACACAAACATTACAACATTTATTGGAGACTATCATATAATCAAGTCTGTAATTATAGAATAAACAAGCTGACTGAGGGATGAAAACACTTCAATTAACAAAGAAAAATAACATAGAAGAGAGATATAACAGAAGGCAGGGGATGGTAAGTGGGTCACAGTTTTGGACCCAAGTATCAGGGATTCGATACGGCCCAGTCATGCGGTAAAATGGAATCTGATGAAGGTGGACTGAAGCCTCGGCCAATCACATACCCTGTTATACGCTATAAAGAACTAGAGTAGCATGGAATGTGAAACTAATGTAGAATTTCCCTTAATTACTAATATTACGCACTAAAAGCTGAATAGAAAAAGTCACTGTTCATGTTTGTTTGCTGGTTTTTCCTTAGGTGTGGTGAATGAAATGTCAGAAAAAAGTACAAATCTTTGGATTTAAAGTAAAAAAAATAAAATAAATGAGAGTCAGCAAATATGCTCAATTGTTTGAAGCTGGACCCTTCTCATATTTTTGTGTGCTGAAGTAAACAATAGCAGGGGACATGGTACAGGTTTTGCTCCAACAGCAAAAGGCCAAAAATCCACTATCAATATTCTACCACATTCCCAAAAAAGTTATAATTATGAAACATGGATTACCTCAGTCAGAGGAAAGAAAGGTGCAAATTTAATGTCACTCCCTATCAGTTGTATTTCAAAGAGTATGTAAAGCCAGTAAGTAAACATTATGCAATGTAGTTCATTCTTGTCAAAGCTATATGCAGTGCCACACTTAGCATATTGCATACTGCCGATTCATTCAGTCAGCAAATGAAATATAACAAAACAAAATATATTACACTCAGCCTCATAATTGAAGAGATATCATTCATAATAATACGCTTTTATAAGATATAGAATTATATAACTAATTGAAAAATTTAGTTAAATTCTAAATTAAATTTATATCATTTTAATTTATAAATATATGTAAATTTAAATTTATTTTAATTATATCATATTAATTATACAGAGATATCCTAATATTTATATGTGTGTGTGTGTCAATAAACATTAAGTTTATTATATAATATTAATTTATACACATACAAATTTGAATCTCCACATCACCGCAGCTCCTTTGTAAACCCACAAGTAAAATGAACTGTTTTGACAAAACTACAAGAACATGAGAAACTCTTGGAAAGTGATAATTGATAATGTACAAACTCATAGCAGTGATTACATCTTGTTTTTTTCAATCAGGCCTCCTCGAAGTACATAATGAGGTTGGTGTGCAACATCATCCAGCTTGCAGGAACACTCAGCCTCACTAGGAGCCCCTCAGTCACAGCTGTCAGCTGAACGTTTTTCTGTAGCGCAACCACCCCAGCCAATTTCCTCGAGACCACATATTGATCAGAGTGCGTGATCAACTGATCTGGAGCTCTGCTCATGGCTAATACACACCAGAGAGGTCTTCTTGTCTCTAAAGGTTCTCTGATAATAGGTGAACAACATGTGTTAACTCCTGAAAGAAATGAGTGTTATAAATGACCTGTAAGAAAGTGACTTTCAGAAGGTGTTACTAGACTGTGGCTGAAATGTGTAAATATTAAAAGGGTCAATGAAAAATAAGGGTTTGTGATAAAAAGGGAAAATCTTTACTTTTAAACATGTACTCTTTGTACATTGAATTTAATCCTCTTGTCCTTTTATTTCCCTCATATTTGTTTTAATGTAGAATCTTATCTCTTTTTAACTTGTACATTCTTTTGTTAAATTTTTAATTATTGCCTTTTATCGTACTGGATTTTTAATTTCTTATAAAGCATTTCATGGCTACTATTTTTTTTAAGTCTTCTTGTCTCTAAAGGTTCTCTGATAATAGGTGAACAACATGTGTTAACTCCTGAAAGAAATGAGTGTTATAAATGACCTGTAAGAAAGTGACTTTCAGAAGGTGTTACTAGACTGTGGCTGAAATGTGTAAATATTAAAAGGGTCAATGAAAAATAAGGGTTTGTGATAAAAAGGGAAAATCTTTACTTTTAAACATGTACTCTTTGTACCTTGAATTTAATCCTCTTGTCCTTTTATTTCCCTCATATTTGTTTTAATGTAGAATCTTATCTCTTTTTAACTTGTACATTCTTTTGTTAAATTTTTAATTATTGCCTTTTATCGTACTGGATTTTTAATTTCTTATAAAGCATTTCATGGCTACTATTTTTTTTTTATAATTTTTCTGTAACGTTCTTTGACTGTGTATGAAATACTACTGTATATAAATAAATACTACTGTAAACTTGCCATGCCAAAATCAGTATTACAGTATTTTCATGAAAGGATTAACAGGAATAAACTCTAAGTAAAAAGTGACAACATATTTTCATGCATCTGATTGCAGGCAATTTTTTCTCAAATATTAAAAGTGGTTTTGTATTTTTTTTAAGAAATAATAATATAAAATTACAAGTAGCCAAACTACATAAAGCTGAGCCCTCCAAAACAAATCATGCAATGGTTAAAAAACGTAACACTTTATATAGGGATCTACTATTGTCATTTTGCATTATTGACACTATTTTCCTAATTAATGCTGTTCAGTTGCTTTGTCACAATCTGTATTGTTAAAAGCGCTATATAAATAAAGGTGACTTGACTTGACTTGACTTATAGGCATGCATATTAATAACATATTGGCTGTTTATAAGTACTTATAAAGCATATATTCTGCATGACCATATTCTACATCCCTAATCCTACCCATTTAATTATTGCCTTTTATCGTACTGGATTTTTAATTTCTTATAAAGCATTTCATGGCTACTATTTTTTTTAAATAATTTTTCTGTAACGTTCTTTGACTGTGTATGAAATACTACTGTATATAAATAAATACTACTGTAAACTTGCCATGCCAAAATCAGTATTACAGTATTTTCATGAAAGGATTAACAGGAATAAACTCTAAGTAAAAAGTGACAACATATTTTCATGCATCTGATTGCAGGCAATTTTTTCTCAAATATTAAAAGTGGTTTTGTATTTTTTTAAAGAAATAATAATATAAAATTACAAGTAGCCAAACTACATAAAGCTGAGCCCTCCAAAACAAATCATGCAATGGTTAAAAAACGTAACACTTTATATAGGGATCAGTTCTCACTATTAACTAGTTGTTATCGTTGACATGATTGCAAAGATATTATTTAAACTGAACTGAGCTGGATGTTGACATCACTGAATTCAATGATGAACTGTCTTTAACTGAAAAATGAGTGTTTACTATTGTCATTTTGCATTATTGACACTATTTTCCTAATTAATGCTGTTCAGTTGCTTTGTCACAATCTGTATTGTTAAAAGCGCTATATAAATAAAGGTGACTTGACTTGACTTGACTTATAGGCATGCATATTAATAACATATTGGCTATTTATTAGTACTTATAAAGCATATATTCTGCATGACCATATTCTACATCCCTAATCCTACCCAATACCTCAACTTAACAACTACCTTACTAACTATTAATGAGCAGCAAATCAGTAGTTTATTGAGACAAAAGTCGTAGTTAAAGGGCACCTATGCAAAATCCACTTTTACATGGTGTTCGGACATAATTGTGTGTTGGCAGTGTGTTAACACAACCACCCTAGTGCTTAGCGTTTTAACCGTATTTGTGTGCGTACATTTAAGTATGTTTAACTGATCAGCCTGTGAGATTAGTTTGCGCCATTCGTAGCACGGTCAATTGACAGGTCAGCGCGGCGCAGCTCTGTAACATTGTGCTGTTTCATCCCACTTTCAGTGCATTTGGCTTTCCATACGTACAGCTAAACACCGGTTCTCTCGCTCTCAGTTATGTTGCTTCTACCAGCCGTTTATTGCTGTAGATATGCAATGCAGAGACATAAATGCAACGACCTCTTCTGGAGATGGGGCGGGAATATGCAGCTCATCTGCATTTAAAGCAATACACTCCAAAACAGCTTTTTTAGACACACCCCAAAAATGACATTTTCCAGCTGTTATAATAAATGATCTGTTGG